AATTGGAATTAGGGCGTGTAGTCCTCCATTATATGTTAGATTAAATTGTTTTGATTTGGTGGTTTGAATAGTTTTATTGTGATAGGTTAAGTAATTCTTATACTTAGGTTTAGTTTAATAGAATAGTCGTAGTTTAAGTTAATTTCTATTGTTTGTTAAATTCACTGATGAATATTAAGTTTGTGACTGAACAATTAATTTTTTAAAAATTTATTGTGCAATCGAATGAGAGGTCAATAGATGAACAATTGTTTGGTTACAAATGTCGAGAAAGTAATTTTAAGTATCATTGAGAATTAAATTATCATATAACGCTTTCAAAATATAAAAACACGTTAAGAGCAACCATGAATATTTATAGGATGTTCAACAATTTGGATTTTCTCATTATAGACTCAATATATGATTGAGCTCAATTTTTTTGTTTTAATTTTTTTTGTTAAGTCTTATATATAAATTTATAGTGAGTTTTTTTTTATTGGCTCTTTTTTTACATCACTCATGTATATGAGTTGTACATTTAATTGACTTCTATTAACAAAAATATATTTTTATGACCATTTAAAATTTTGACTGTTGTTGCCCCACTAGAGAAGATTTTTAGCTCCGCTCCTAGCTGATTGTGGCGTCTTTTTTCAAGAAACAGGTATGGACATCTCTCTCTCTCTCTCTCTCTCTCCTCCCACTGAAACTCCACAAAAACCCCTCTAAAATTAGACTGAAAATCCCATTGAAACCCCATTGCAACTGTACAAAAAAATAGACCAAAAACCCATTGAAACCCCACTGCAACTGCACCAAAAACCCACTGAAATCCCACTGCAACTGCACCTGCACCAAAAATAATACTGAAAATCAAACCTAAAACCCCGAATTGTCTCTCTTTCTCGAAGTAATTTGAAATTTCTAAAATTTATGAGTTATTCCTACATCATTAGAATTTGTGGATTTGTGAATTTCTCCAATTGGCAATGACGTGACATGCTACGTATTATTTTACATTTTTATTATTAATAGTTAGTTAAAATTAGTTGAAATAATCAGTTAAAATAGAGAGTTAAAATAGAGAGTGTTGTTAAAGTGAATTAATAGAAATTACTCTTTAAAATAGATAATATAATAAAAAAATATATTTTAACTAACTATTATAACTAATATCGTCGGAGTTGCTCTAAAATCTAGTGGAAAGTGGAACTGTGTATACTTGTTTGCATGGTAGATACATACTTATGGTTATCACTAATCTTGTCCTTAGTAATTATGTTTTCAAAGTAAGGAACTAACTACGTACTAGTACATTTATACATAATATAAAACAGTCATAAAATAATGGTGACATGATGATCTAAGATGACAACAAAGAGTGTTAGGAAGAGGGGTCAAAGGATCTTATGATGTATTTGCTTCGATATTTGAGATAGCTTGTTTGGAAGAAAAAAAACAAATGCTATAGTGGTGTTGTGTTCAATTATAGATACGTATTTGAGGCTCAACCCTTAGACTATTTATATTTTGAAGGGTTCTAATGTATATACCTATGATGATGTCCTGCCAACAAATTTGATAGTTTTTTTGGTGTAAAATTCTTGTCAGAGCACGTGTATAACAAGACAATTATATCAATGTTTATTTCATTAAAAAGTGTTCGTATCCTGTCTTGGGTGGCTTCGTGTTGCATATTTAATACACATGTACATAATTTATAGTTGACGAGGGTTAAATTTACAAATGATAACTATGTTCGAGATCAAGAACCAAATGATAGCGTTGCTTGGGTATCACTTGATTAAAGTTGATTTGACTATAACATTAACTAGTTCCAAGAGTAGCGGGGGAAAGCTGACTTCATTGGGGTCGAAAACCTGTCGTACCCCGGGCGTTCCCAGGCCTTTGATGAGCAAGTTTTACCCTCAAACTCTCGGGTTGCTCGAAGATGATATGTGTGAGGGTGGGTCCCACATTGATCCACGTGTCCTTCCACTGAGATTTATCAATAAAAAAAAATATAAGATTCATCAAGGGAAAATAATGAATATACACAAGAGGCAAGACACATGTGGAACACAACTCAAGCCTCTCTTTGAACTTTCTTTCTCTCTCAGAAACTAGAAAGCTACGAACACCCTGTCCCTTTCCTTGCCACTCGTTTTTGGTCTCTGTTTTTTTTTTTAATCAGTTATAGCAAGGGCTACTACCCTACAAAAGAAGGAGAGATACCCTCTTCAGGACAAGCAGAGGTTACGTATATGGTAACCTCTGTTCATATATTGCTCCTTCCAATAATTCCACATAAACACAGTAATGTCTCTTTTGCTCTGTCAGTGCATATCTTTTTAATCTATACGCTTATTTTTTGGCCGAGTTCTTCACCTACACCCCTACGATAACCTTTTTTTAACCCGTCTTCTCTCTCTCTCTCTCTCTCTCACACACACACACACACACAACACAAACAATATTCTCCATCTTTTTGCCAGTTGCCACTTTACTGATCCATAATAGAGTTGTTGTCAGAGAATGAATGGCTGAGAAGACCAAGTCAGTCTTCTTCTCTTGCACTTGTCTTTAAGTATCTCACTGTTTTTTAATTGCTTTCCTATTTATATATATCATGTTACGTATACGACCTTCTTGTTACAATGCTCATTCCTCAACCATTCTTAGAGGTTACTCGGCAATCTGACGGCCTGAGTTTGTTTGCCATAGTTAAGCATTTTGTCAAATTAATTGCTTAATTTTTCGAGGTATATTCAGTACGCATCTTTTTAAGATTCAGCTTTTTCTAACCTACTTTTTCTGCTTTAGTATTTGGAAACGATGGGTATAATGGCTCATCATTGCATTATTATTTTAGATTTCTGAATTGGGTTATTCAGTGATTCCTCAAATTGTTGCAAATTAGATGATTATATAAAAGAAAACTTTGACCCTTTTTATGTGGGTAATAACTGTAGAAATTAAGGTGCTTCATTTCTTATTGAGTAAAAATCTTTTAGGAATTCTGTTTACTACTCACCAAATATCTTAACATGAATGTCAGAGAGAGGGAGAGGGGAGTGGGGGGGTAGGTCGGGGGTGATGGTGAAGAATCCCAAATTATTTTGAAGAAGTTAAGTTTAGGTTTAACCTTTTTAAAAGGCAGGTCTTTCGAGGATGAACAAACTCTCTGTTCCGCAAGTACTTCACTTTCTATGTTGGGGGTAGCGGAGGGGAGAGTTTCGGATTCAGTTTCTTCAGGAAATATCGAATTATTCAGGCTGCATTTGGTTTGGGAGCTGTGTGTGTGTGTTCCATTTCAGCATCTCAAGTGTCTGATCACTAAGCTAGGCACTGTATTCTCATACTGGCAGGTTTTGTTCTTGAATAGTTCACACTAAACTTCAACTTACATAGCAGTCCTTTATCGGTCTTATGTATGACTGTGAATGATGTAGACCTAGGTGATGAGTCTGGAAAGAACTTTTTTGAGAGATGCCAAGGTGAATGAGTTTGACAAGAACTTGACTGTGTGTGTAAGGCAGAAGTTAATGAGCTTTCGTTGAAGACAATTTTTCAGAATTTTGCTGAATTGGAGAAAGAAGGCCCACTGAACATTACTTTAATTGACAGTTTTGTTCCGGTATAAAGGGGCTCAATTGGTGACATAGAGCTAGAGATTAAGGAACTGAAGGTCTCTCTGATGGAGTCATCATTTTCTGGATCATCGAAGAGAGCCAAGGCACCGAGTAATGTCACCCAAGTTGTTCGTTGCTTGGTTGATGGGTGCAACGCAGACCTTAATCAGTGCCGTGAGTATCACAGACGGCATAAAGTGTGCGAGTTCCATGCTAAGTCCCCTAAGGTTACAATTGGTGGTAGAGAGCAACGGTTTTGTCAACAATGCAGCAGGTACTATTAGAATTCTTTCACATTGTGATCCACCATATTTTCTTTGATAACTTTCTATATTACAGTTCATTTCTGTTTCATCTGTTCCTTGTGGCTTAGTGGTGTATAATGGTGCCTATATTTCCAAGCCACCTGAATAATGGTTGTTTGGCTTTTGAAATATAAACATTACCATATTTGAAGCAACTTCCTTTCCATGTTGATGATAGCTGTGTAATTGACGCTGAAGTTTTGGGTTGGGTCTCCCAATTGCATAATGTGGCATAATTTTGTTGCTGAGTTGTTGTTAGACAATGCTTAGTCATATTCCCTAAAAATTATTGTAATTGGCCATTACGACTTCCAGTTTAAAATGAATAATCCCTTCATTTGTTGCATTGTCTTTGAAGTAATCAGGTATTTTCTATAGCTTTCATTGGATTCTGAATATTAATAGTGGCAAACATTGGATGCATCTTATTCAATGCCTAAACCAAACAAAAATTGTTTATTTTTACTCTTCCTGTGCTGCCTTTGTAGCTATCTGACATGACATGCCTCAGTTGAATTGACTTACTTCACCATTGATGAATATGTTTTCAATCCAGTTGGCCGTAATATTGAACTACAATTCTTTATTTCCTGCCTTCATGTGGATTTCTCCTAGTTTTGCTTTTGTTTGTGTTTTTTGTTTTCTTATGAATAATCTGTGAGGAGATAATACATTGAGCTCCCATAGCATTCATAACACATAAGAGTTTCTAAAGATTAAAGAGTGCTCAAGTTCTGTATTTCCCTCCAGCTGCTGAATCTATATAAAGTCTGACCTGTTGCTTTCACAGGGTGTCATTCAATGCGTCCATTGTGTAGAAACTCTTGTCGCTCCTTTAATCTTATTTTCTTGCCCTTTTAGACAGCATTCATTATGGTTTATAATGTCCCTCTTGTTGCTTTCAAAGGGTGTCATTCATTAAGCCCATTGTGCAGAAACTTTTCTTGGCGCATTTAATTTGTTTTCTTGCTCCATTGGAAAATATTCCATTGTTATCTTTCTGTGTATGCTTCATACTAGTGTGGCCCATTGTCTCTGAAGCTGATTAGTGACCAAATGTTTGTTTTGTCCTTTAGGATCTATTTTTCCTCACATTTTTGGTAGAGATGTATCCCTTCTGTAGGTTTCATTCGTTGGCAGAGTTTGATGAGGGAAAGCGAAGCTGCAGGAAACGTTTAGATGGCCATAACCGGCGGCGAAGGAAGCCTCAGCCTGATTCTCTTTCCAGAAATTCTGGAATGACTGTTTCTAATCAACAAGGTTTGAGTTCCTTATGATTAGAGTTTCAAATTAAAGGTGGAAGTTGAAGGATTCAATTGGTATCAACTGGGTTTGTTTGCCAAATTACTGGCAGTGATTCAAGCCTCGCCATTTTTCCCCCAACATAAGTCATCATCTATTGTTGTGTTCAAGTAGATAACTGAGTCACATAATGTTTTGATTGAAATGCACCAAAATATCCTCCATCTCAGGTACAATGCTTTTGTCATTCAGCAATCCACAAATATTCCCTAGTGCCGGTGGAACCTCCACTTGGGCTGGGCCTGTCAAAGCTGAGAATGAGACAGTGCTATACAATAGACAGTCACCCTTGAGCTGCATTGACCGACGCAACCCATTTCCTGAATCTTCCGCTCACAGCTACAGAGGAGTAAACCAGTTTCAATTCTTGCAACAAGATACTGACCACATTCTCCCTGAAGCTTCCGTTTGTCAATCACTTCTTGATCCCCATTCTGCATCAGCAATCACTTGCAGCAGCCAAAGAATGTTCTGTGATGGGTTAAATCGAATGGTTGACTCTGATGGTGCTCTCTCTCTTCTGTCATCAGCACCGGCTATAACTAGGGAGATTGGTTTGAGCCCCATGGTGCAGCCTGACCCCGAATTGCAGGCACAGTCCTTGATCCATAACCTGCAGTATAGCAGTATAGATCAGTACGCTTGCACACAAGAAATGGAAATCAAGCCTGTAGTTTCTGCTACCGACTCTGGCAATAGCCATGATGCCACCCTGTGTTTCCAGGGAATGTTTCAGAATGAACCTGATGGGTCTTCTGCAAGTGGATCTCATCAAACCCTGATATTTTGGTGGGAGTAATTTGTGACAGTTTCACTTGACCTCCTTTGCCATCCAATTAGTTGAGTTTTGCAAGATCAAGCATGTTCATAACTTCTTGACGATGAATGTTGTAATTCTAGATGTCGGACTATCAGAGAAATATGCACGATTTCCTTTCACATTGTCCGCTCCATCTTCGGCTCTTAAGCACAAAATTGAAGATGCTGCTCTACTAATCCAATTGGGCTATCTTCACCATTGGATGGGCTGATGCACTACATCTATTCTTCAATTTGTATCTCAAAATAAGCAACCTCTCCTATTTTGTGCAATGTTTGTCTGTGTGTCCTGAAGTATTAAGTGTTATTTGCATAACATAACATCGATTCAATGGGAACATATAAAATGCTGCTAATTTAGATCCATCGTTAAATCCCTACAAGAAAGTTTTGATTTATCTGCCAAACTGGGTTTATAGGTGATTGAGGGTAATGGTTTTCATTGTAATCATGAGCTTAAAAGGGTACGTGTTGGGATGATTTTGCGTTTAGCAAACTATATACATTGAACTTGTAGTCTTACCTCAATCTATTTCAACCAGAATAAGTATCAGAATCCATCTGCGCTCAAGTGGGGAAGGATAGATCAAGTAAAATATTCCTATCATTGAATCAGGGGGAAGAAAGAAACTATGCATAAACAAACAGGCCGGAATCTTTATAGCTGACTCCCGTTGTATCAAATTAATTATTCCATTATCCAAATCTTGATAAAAGTGTTCAAATCTCAAAATAAAATATATAGGAATATATCCAATTTACACTCAGTTTTTTTCTATAATATCCATAGTTCTTCATAATAGAGGCCAAGGGNCATTTATCTTGACTGGTGGTGCAAAATACCTAGGAGCATATTCCTATCCCAGATTTCTTCCCAGATGGCAACCGGCCTACTGAAGGTTCATGTTTATCTTAAACTTTTTACTCAACTTCCACCACAAGGTACACCACATCAAATAAGAAGGCCAATTTCTATATATAGGCGACGCACCCATGTGTGACTTATAAGTAACTTGTTTTGGACTGATACAATATGGAGAAAAGCAATAAGCAGAGAGGGTTCGTTAAAAGTAAGCTAGTAATGTCTTTCTCTCGGGCTGCCAAGCCTTCATCAACTGTGCAATATGCTAGTATGGTTAAGCCAGGTCCATCTTCATCAACACAAGACGTGTCGTTCTCTCAGCCAGGTGGCTTTGGTGGCTCCGATGGCTATGTCCATGGCCCTAATGGTGGTGCTGGAGATGTGAACGTAGACTCGAAGGCTGCAAGTTATATTTCATATGTCAGAGAGAAGCGTATGCTCGAAGAATCACTTTTGATTAATGGAAGAATCGATGAGTATCCAAAGGAATATTAAAGCCACACTGAAGTATTAACTTGTTTGCTTAGGTTTCTTAGATTCTTCTTTCTGATCTTTAGTTACTCTGTATGTGGTGGACAAATATTGTAAAACAAGGTATATATAGCACACCAGTATTGGGGGCTCAAGCCCAACTTCAAAACGGTACAAGTTGGACTCTAATAGGCTAGATCTCCTCTATCATTTTTGTTGGGATTTAACTCGATTTAAATCCACTAACAAACACACACAATCGAAGAACAAATTAAGAATATAAAGTAATAAGAAACAAGAAAGAATAAGACACAGATTTTACGTGGTTCGACAATTTGCCTACGTCCACGAAACTGCAGGAATTTTACTATTGAGAGAGTTGAATTACAGAGAGCGGCTGTGCAATCCACAACAAACCCTAGTCACAAAAATAATAGGGTTTATATGTCGTACGCACTGGGCTGTATAACGGGCCCAAAAAATTTTCCTCGGAGGCGTTGCCCCCGAACCTCCACGAGGCTTGTCCATGGGCGCTACGGCCCAAGCCTTCGCTCCATGGACTAAGCTTCAGAAAATTTTCCATTAAAAACCACATAACATTACTTCGGGTCGGGTCATCATCCGAATCACATATACAAACTAGACTCCATTAAAAAAAACCAACAACTTTTTCTTTCTATTGTTTTCATTGCTAGATCACCCATCCATCATGTTTTAGTCACGGACCCATTCATATACAATGAGTTTGACTTGAAAAATGCAAGTCGAGGTGAGAGCACAACTTTAAACAGGACTGGGCTGCAGGATAGCTACGAAATACCAACCCATATCTCTTAGAAAGCGTGGGACTCGTCTTTGCTCCCATTACTTTTGTTGGAAAGTATGCTCCAATCTCTGCTCAGCAGCCCATGAGAAACCTATATACTTGGATGAGCATCTGTGAACCCATAACAAAATCACAGGTCAAAATCCAAAACATTCCTCCTGTGATTGAATTAAAGCCCGGTTCTGGTAGTATATGAATTCCTTTTTTCGTATGCATAATCCTGGCAATTGAGCAATGCGTCGCTATAAAAAGTAAAAACAGGCCAAGGCCAACAATAAAGAATGTATATGGCTAGGTGGACCAATTTATCATTAGTTCACTTCGTTTTTTCCAATCTCCTACTCCTTTATGTTCTGTCTATTTACCTTTGTTTGGTGCAATTCATTTTCATTTGATGGTACAACAAATTCGGAATTTTTTTCCTCAATTTTTTTTTTCTCACCATACACACTCCTATACAAGAAGAAGGAGCCTTAAGGCTTACACCTATACCAAACACTAAACAATGCTAACCTGGGGGGAATTAATCACATTCCTCACGGTTTTTTGTTCCTCTTTTCATCCAGGGACCATAATGTCTAGCCTTAAAGAACTTCCCACTTGGAAATACATCCTTATTCACAACTAGTTAAGTACTTTACTACTACTGTTGCCGTCATTAGAACTGCTAAATTCAAGTTTGATCAAACAAATATATATGTACTTACAAAAAAGAAAGCAAACACAAAAGAGATGGAATTTCACATGGTTCACTCAATTATAGTGCTTTAGTTGGTTGAAGGAGAATATATGCGATGGCTTTCCCATGTGTAGCATTCAAGTAAACTTGTGGCATTTTTGGCCAAAAAAAAAAAAGTGAGCTAAGTTGCTTTCCTTACCAATTAGTTTTCCAGCTGCCAGTCAGGGAATAGCAATAGCTACCAAATTTTCCCTATATATACTTTGAACTTGACTACGGTGTCAAATAAAATGTGGTATCGAAAAAAACTGATAAAAATAATTATCATAAAAAGGGTAAAATATTTACAACAATAATAAAAATATCTACAAAAGTGATAAATATCCTTATGGTATAATTGTTATTTTTTTTGCCCGTAGACAACTCCGATATGCTTTCATGGTAAACATACTGCACAGCGTAAAGTACTTAAATTGGCTGGAAGACACATTCATTCAGCTAAATAATTAACTGACTGTAAGAACAAGTGCAGAATGTGTATTAGGAGTGAAAATTCAAGTAAAGGAGACTGACAACAAAGCTAAAGCATTGTAGCCAACCCAGTTTCAGTGGTGGAGATTATTATGCCTAAAGGTTCAACAATGCAGATTAGTATCTTAAATTTCTCGTACCAAATAATAGGAAACATTCAGCAGTACATGTAATTATTAATGACATTCGTTAAATCTGTCATATTATTTAATGTAAAATTTTCGTAAGTATAACATTACCAGAGATGAAACCATAAATTAGCATGCTGATTAAAAGAAAACCACAGAGAAGCATCATCATGAGTCATGCAGCTGCAAACCAAAGACGGGAGAGAGAGAGCCACTTATTTATGGCGAAATGATTGTTTTTGCCGAACTCCATCGATGAGTCACTAAGACAAAAGAGAGTGTGACGTTTCGAAAAGAAGTAAATATTGACCAGAGATGTTACATGGATCAAATTTAAGATTAATATTATTTTTAATCCGAAATATATATATATATATATATATATATATATTTATTTTAATTTAGTATTTATTATATTAATTTTTTTAATTTGATTCTTAAAGTATTCAATTTGTCTTATTTTAGTTCTTACATAAACTGTCAGTTAAATTTTTTGATAGAATAATAATGTATTGGACACGTGATATCATATAAAAAAAAATGGCACGTGATCAGTTTTGTCTACAAATGAATTACATGAATTCCATTTGATCGTTATTTTTAAATATTAAATAATTACCTCCTCCGTTATTAAATATCTGTTATTTTACACAATTTTTTTTGTTCCATAATATTTGTCGTTTAATGAAACCAAAATATAATTAATATTTTTTCTTCTAAATTTACCCTTAACTTTTCAATGTATTAGATTAGGTGGAGATTAAGTGTCTTTTATATTCATTTTTTTTCAATACATATTGAATATAAATATTTTATTTATGTGTAATTATTTTTTACTTATATTAAAGTTATTTAATAACTTTCTTAATTTTTGTATAAAAATTTTAGACGAAAAATATTTAAGAGCCAAAAAAAGTATTAAATAACATAAAAAAGTGGTTGTTATAAGACGTGAGTTTTACTTCTGATTTGTTTAGATTGTGGCAGAGTCTCAGGCGTGGTGCCACCGTTCACCGAATATTTTAAGACAACTAAGCATTGATGGAGTTGGATGTGATTGAGGACTTATAGGAGCGGATCAAGCATAGACATATAGCCCAATGGACGTGACTTACCCTTAAAGTGACATTTCCCAAAATGGCATGAGGTCCACGTGTCATGACGGGTGATGTTGATGGTGTCTGCCTGTTTAAGGTTAAAAATCTGACAGTATATGTACATGTGGGCCCACAACATTTAACACCAACCATCGGATCTCCATCAAACTTCCATGGTCCCCCCACCAATCAACTACACAGTAGTTTTCACTTTTCAGATGGAATTCAACTTGTATAGCTTCAGGAAAATGCCATACGAAAAGTTATCGTTTTTTTTAGATTAAACTATACTTTTAAAAAATAAAATTATAAAATATTTAAATAATTAATGATTAATCAAGAAATATTATGATAATGAATTACTTCAATCAGGTAGAATTTTTTCCATGATGAGAATCATTTGTTACATTACATACTTTATTTTCACCAAAGAAATCATACCAACAAATATAAAGCAAGAGTTTAGGGGTGCCTAGTCAGCATTATTATCGGCTTAACAACTTTTAACGACTCGAGGGATTCTAGGACATATCCTTTTTGAAATGTCCTAAACCATAAAGGGATAATATCTAGAGAAAAATTGAATTATCATAAGGAGTTATTCGAAAACGCCATTATAAAATTAATAATAGTAATGGTGTCTTAATCACATGTTCCAATGGTTTTTGTCTAGACCTGATAATGTTTACATGAAACGTGAATGAAATTACATGTTCACATGGTAAGTGGATCAACAAATCCTGACTAAACAAATTACGAATTCACTAAATAAAGTAAGGTTTATACACAGTACAAACTCTATGTGACACCATTCTGGTTGTACATGTACACAAAAAAAATAATATTTTTTGACACGATACAACTTAGACACACATCAATTCCGATACCAGGCGACCACTGGTGCCGACCTAGATTGGTGACATAGATGGGTGACCAGAAGAGCTGGATGTTTGTGTATCCAGGTGTTGTAGTGGTAGCTGCTTGTAACCACATCCCCAAGTTTAAGTTCAACTCCCTTGGTGCAAGTAACAGGCCACCAACCAAAAAAAGAAAAAGTTGAATGTTCTCTAACTTTCCAATTCAATACTACTCCCTGATGCTGGAAAAGAAAGTTGAGTGAAACTAGAGTTTCTCTTAGTTTTTTTTTTTAATTTTCTTTAACCAAACTGGTCTAATCCAGTTGGCCACTATTGATTTTCTCAAATGAATGGTCATGAGTCAATCATTAACTACCCATATGTAAGAACTGATGCATTGAGCTCCTCTCTAAGTCGTCTATTTTATCTTTTGTGCAACCTTCTTTACAGCTCTTCTCTGAATGTTCTCTTAGTCTACTGCTAATGTAGATTCATTCTGACTCTTGGGAAGTTTGCTCCGTGTACAACTGTAGATTAATTATATTGTAGTACTATTGACCGGATATATCAAATGACTCAAGTTCACATGTTGTATTCCACTAAGTCAAACATTCGAACCTTGCCAACATCCTTGAAAAAAAAAAAAAAGTGCTTAGCAAAAATCTAGTATGTACATGAGAGACCTAATCTCGAGGGCAAATCCTGTAAGATCTTTGAGGGTGGGGAGTAGGAAGAGAACGTTGATATATTTTTCTAAATATATTTAACCTCTGGAATATGAATCACCTACCTTCCTAAATTGGGTGAGATATTCTTCTTTGTTTACCGACTGGTTAAACTCTCTAGCTAAGACACAGTGGAGCATTCTCTCTTGAGGGGTCCACCTTCTAAACCCATGTAGCTATG